CACAATATTCCCGGTATTATTGAATAAACCACCCAGTCAAGCAACCGATTTATCTGGGAACTCAATTAGTTACGCATACCTGAACATTTTCGCTTTTCTCTCTCCGATTCCAACTGCTGTCATTTGCTATGAATCACTTTTATGGCAAGTCGACTTATTGCCAACTTCCGCCCCCTGGCAGACTCCACATGTTGCATGCTGCATGCTGCATGCTGTCGTTGTCTCACATCAAATGACGTGTGAAATGCTCCTCATGTAAACTGATGCTAATGCTCTCTATGAGCCAGTTGCAGCTATTTAAGCAGCAGAGCTCTGCTGCGGAGCTTCTACAGCGTCTGCTTCTGCTGCTGCTGCTGCTTTAAGGGCAAACGATTTTTCAATTTCACGCGGCTCGCCGAAGGACATCAACAAAAGTGCAAGCAACTGGAACTTCAGGTGTGCAATGAGACACAGAGATGAGATGAGAGAGAGAGGGGGATGTCACGTGTAGAGTGAGAGAGTACGAGAATCGTTAGGGTTGCCCGACTCTCAGCCGCAACTTTCCAGCATTTGGCCATGCTCGTCACGTTTTTAGCCACTTTTTGGGCGACAGACGCCGCACGGATCGCGTGCAGACACAAATACCCTAAAACGGGTGCACGTGTGTGCAAGTGCATGTGCATGTGCATGTGCAATTGCCACGCCCATCGCTGTCGACACGATTCAAGTGCATTTCGCCAAATTGCAAATAATTTTTTATAATATTGTGCACAATGCAATTTTATTCCTGGTCCCGTTTCCCGTTTTTCGCCTGCGGCCATTAGAAGCGGCTCGTCGGGGGATATTATTCAATCAGCCACAGTGTGGCCTGGCTAACGTGACAGCAGCTCGCGCTCTGCCACCTGGCCGCCTTTTAGGCAAATTAAATTGCCTCGCCCACAATTAAATGGCCCACAAATCGCAAGAGTTGGCGCAACTTCACGCATAAATTACACATTTTATGGGTGCGTCGCAGGCAGTCAACACTGTAGGCTAATTACGTTTACTGTAGCAAACACATAATTGCAATTGGCACATTTTATTGTGGACTTTATGCGAGAAGTTTCCACTTCTTTCGTTTCTTTTGTTTTGGCTTTAATTTTCTCTCTCTCTTTCTTTCATTTTTGGGCCAGGCTTGGGCAAAACTTTTCACATTTCATGTAAAGTTTATTTTTTTGCGCTTGTCCAATTTATGCCGACAGTTGTGAAAATTATGCAAATTTTTATTGTTCAGACTCTTTGGCATTTCATTGCCTGACAACTGGCGGCACAGCTAATATTATAGCCATATTTATAGGGTATATAATATCAAGGAATCGTGGGCAATGGAAATTATTTAGTTTATTTATGGGAAATATATTAAGTTGTGAAATACTCCTATAGAAAAAATATACATGTATATAA